CCTGCACTGCTCACACTTCGGAAGCGCAAAAAGTTCATGACATGCTGGTGCCACTGCTCCTGCATGTGTCTGCTACGAAACCGTTTTCGGCCAATGCGCCGTCGGAATCGACGCGGCGCCGCACGTCGCGGCTGGCCAGCGGCGCAACCGCTCCGACCAGCGGCGACGGAGACCACTGCAGCCAGGGGGGCCTTGATTCCACGGGCGCTGCTGGCTGAGCGATTCCACCACCCCTCGAATGGGGGACGCTGTCCTGTGCCGCCTGAGTTCCGGAAGGCCCCCCCCCAGGGGAGCAGGGGCAAACGCCCCCACGGCACGCAACACAGGGGGGCGATCCTGGGCAGCCCAGAGGGAGAGGGCCCCTCAGAGGGTGGTGGCACGGGCGTCATCGCGCACTCCTTGGGAGTGTTGCGATTCGCCACCACTGCTGTCTCGATGCATGGGCAGGGGCTCGAACATGGCTGGAGGAGGTGAAACGGCCATGTTATCAAATGCCGTCAGCCTCTGCATTGGCGCTGTCACTGCTGCGGTTTCAACAGCGTGATGAGATCGGTTAGCATCGATAGCGCTCTTCGAGTGAATTGCCGAGACCGTATGCATGAGCCAAACCATATCCCCCAGCGGGGTGCACGCCGCACGTCGACCCTCGGCCTCTTCACCCCGGACAACTTGGAGACCTCGCCCATCAAGACGGGGAGCTGTTCCACCGCCACGCTGAGCAGGCACATGGCGTTCTACGAAACATTGATATGTTCCTGGTCGCCGATGTTCTCGGTCGCGATATTGCGCGCTGCGCCCTTGATGATCTGGATGTGGGGGCCACCTGGCTGCTCGGAGGTGAACTCCTCATCTCCGCCGCCCCGCTGCCCCCCTCTGCCGCTCGCCCCCGCTGCCTCGGCCACTCTGCTCTTGGTCGGAGCCAGCCTGTAATCGAGCACCGCCCCCCCAGCGCCCTCTTGCATGCCCTGCGCCGTCTGGAGCGCGCCCCTCTGCGGCCGCGCGACCGTCGCGTCTGGAACTGAGCTGGAGCTCGCAGGCCCTGCTCCACCGCCGCCCCATCTGCTTTCTTCGGCGCCCACGCCTCCGCCCGGGGTCTGCCCCGGCCGGCGCGCGCCCACTCCGCTGCCGGTTTCGCACCCAACCTTCTGCGCCTCGGCGCCCCTCGTCGCGGCGTCGCCCAGCTCGACCTTGGCGCGGGGTCTGCGCCGCCCCAAAGGCGCCGCCGCCCCCGCGAACGCCCCCGTGGCCCCCTCCGTCTGCGTCGCTCGCTTCCGCCCTCGCTTCAGCCGTCACTTTCGACATCTAGCGCGAAGCCAGCGGGGCCGTCGCTCCGCGCGCGAGCGTGGATCTGGGGCGCGAGCACAACGCGAGGGATAACTCGCGCGCAGAACGGTCGAGCGACGGGGCCCCGCTTGGTTCGCGCTGCCCCTCCGACGAGCCCCTCAAGATACCCAGCAGCCACCCTCGACGCGCGCTGCATGGCCCCCATCGACGGACGGCAACTTAGGCGCCGCGGACACTGATTGGCCACGACCAGGCGGCATAGCTCGCGTTGACCCCATAGAGGACACGACGATGAGTCTGGAGCGCGGCGAACGATGGAAACCTTTTCCCGCAGACAGTATTGTCCACCGCTTCTTTGCAGCAGACCTCCACGGGCGGCGCGTCGAGCGCGCGGCGAGCTCCCCGGGTTGGAACTCGGGCGGCGCAGTCTGCGCATCAGAGCTGCCGAGCGGAGGGCGCGCGCGTCGAGCGCGAGGGGCCGCCAGCGCGAGGGCCCCGCAGGCCGCCAGGCGCGCCCAGCAAGCCCCCCCGCTGGGTTTGGCCGACCCCGCTTCCTGCCCCGTCTTCCCGGGGTCGCCCGCTAGCAGACTGCGCCATGAAGCGGCGCCCCGATTGGCCACCAGGTCTCTCCGACCCTCGAAATGCAAGGCGCCCTCTCGAATTCTATCTGGCCAAACACAGCTGCAAGCGCCTGCTAATAAGCCGCAGTGTGCCGAGAATGCGTTGGAAGTTTGGCTAACTTCCAGAACGTCGGCTCTTGGCCCCTCGCGAAGGTTGCCATGTTGTCGTCGCCCTTCAACGCGGCGCGCCCCCCCCCCCCCCCCAGCAGCGACCCTAGCGGCTGGGCGCGACCTGCGGCGAGCCTCGATATTTGGCTGGAAGTCAAGACGAGCACGCGCAGCGCTGGAAGAGATCCCTCGTGGACGCAGCCGTTGAATTGTTGGAGCCTCGCGCGCCCCCACCGCGCGTCGCGAAGCTGGGACGGGCCCGCGCTGCGCCGCCCCATCCTCGCCGCCACGGCGCGCGCCTTGATCGTCGCGAACTGCGAGGTCTGCCAGAAGATGGGGCCCAGCAGCCCAGCGCCCCCGGCGACCCTGCCCTGCAGATCCTTGGAGGTCGACGCATTCCTCGCAGCCGCCGTTGACCCTGGCCCTCGCAGCCCGAGCGCGCAGACCGTCTTCTCCTAGTTGAGCCCGCCGCCCATCTCGTTGATGGG